CCATCTCTCAAGTTCAATAAATTTTTCCTCTATTCAACACCTGTAATAGCTGTATTTTATCATTTAAAATAGCTTATCTTGCTGGCTTTATTCTTTTAAGTTTGCCATTGCAGTCAAAGCAATAAAAACTGGCATTGATATTGCAGGAAATATAATAAACTCTATAGGATTGATGTTTGAGACTTTTGAGTGCAATTTACAATACTGCATAAAAAATAAATAAATTAACAGCAAGGCAGGGTAACAGAGGATTTGATAACACCGTTTAATGATGATAACAACTACGGTGGTGTAAAGTCTCAAAACGAATACCGGAGTTGCTGCTCCATACAATGAGTTGATATTGATAACACCATTTAATTTTGAATTTTTGAATAGAATGTTGACTTTCCTTTGATTTGATTTAATTGCATCAATCTCTTCATCAATAAAAATTAATATTGATTTTACAGGAAGACTTCCCTTCCCAAACTCATCTCTATCAATTTATGATTTGGCAACAGAGACCGCTTCTCCATCGGAGACCAATTCTGCATCCGAGATCGATCCTGCATCCGATTCTCTACCATAATAGCTGACTAGCCAGGCGATTTTTTCAACAGAAAAACGAAATGATACATCTTCGTAGGCATAGACAGCATATGGATTGTCAGCCTTGATAACCAAGTCGGCTTTCTCCTGCAGCTCCAATGCTAGTTCTAAGGTTACCTCAACTTCTCCCATTGAAGGCCGTTCATTTGGATCTGCATATACACAATTGAGAGCGATCTCCACGTATTCTATCAAAGACACCGGTGCTATCTTCCCTTTCAGAAATGGATCCATCATATCATGAACGCAGCCGTTTTTTATGCATGTAATGATCCGGGAAATAAAATCAACCATCCTTCTACCGCACAATACTTCCAACAGAACAATACCTAGCGAGCACACGTCAGCTTTTTCGCTGAGTTCACCATGAAAACACTCTGGAGCGACATAGCCATAGGTACCTGCGACTGATGTCTCTTTTGTCAAAGCGTTGGGCTTAGGCTTTGACATGCTAGAGGGACCAATTACGGACAATTCAAAATCTGAAAGCTTAGCATCCCAATTTTCGTTCAGAAGAATATTGTGAGGCTTGACATCGCGGTGAATTATTGCATACTTTGCACCTGTGTGAAGGTAGTGTAACCCACGCGCTGTCCCAATACATATCTCTAGTCTCCGCTTCCAAGGGAGTGGATCAGCATTCCCAAAAAGATGACCACCCAATCCCCCATGGGTCATATATTCATATACAAGGATCCTCTCATCCTTCTCGTGACAAAACCCGAGGAGAGAGACAAGATTCTGGTGGCGCAGCTGGCAGAGTAACTGTACCTC